AAGAAATGGTTATCAAGTGACCAGAATAAATCCTTTCATTTGACATAGGGGTTGTCTGTTTTTTTGTGCCTCAGCCACCCCCAGAAGTCATTGTTCAAAATCCAGATGTGAGGACCCCACATGTGACTCCTGTTAACCAGGACTAAGTGGAATTCAGAAATTTCCATTTTAAAATTAAAAAAATTTAAATTACAGTTGACAGTCAATATTATATTAGTTTTGGGTGTATGGCATAGTTATTAGACATGTAACTTATGAGTGATCCCCTCAATAAGTGTAATGCCCACCTGGCACCATACATAGTTATTACAGCATCACTGGCTCTCTTCCCTATGCTGTACCTGACATTCCCTTGACTATTTTGTAACAACCAGTGTGTACTTCTTAATCCCTTTACCCTTTTCACCCAGCCCCCCGGCCCCCCTACCATCTGTCAACCATCAGTGTTCTCTATGCGCTTGTTTCTGTTTTATTTTGTTTTTTAGATTCCACATTTAAGTGAAATCATAAAGGTATTTGTCTTTGACTTATTTCACTTAGCATAATACCGTCTAGGTACATCTGTGTTGTTGCAAATGGTAAGATCAGAAATATACTCTTTGTCTTTTTTAAACCCTCACCCGAGGATATTTTTTCATTGATTTTTAGAGAGTAGAAGAGGGGCGAGGGGAGAGAGAGAGAGAGAGAGATAATGATGTGAGATGAGAGACACATCGACTGGTTGCCTCCCACATGTGCCCTGACCTGAGCTAGAGGAACGTGCAACTGAGGCATATGCTCTTAACCAGGAATCGAACCTGTGACCCCTTGATCTGAGGGCCAATGCTCTAACCACTGAGCCAGGTCAGCTAGGGCCAAAATTATCCATTTTTAACCAGTGACCCCTGGGGAATCAGAAACCAGCTTACTGACCTGGGGGTGGGTGACTTATAGAAATCATGGCCAGAGAGCCCTGACTAAGAACACATCACAAATCCCAAGGAAATCTTGGAATATTTACTAGAGGAGATGGTATTTGCCTGTGCCTTGAATGATGAATAAAAATTGAATATTAGAAATGATGACAAAGAGAAGGGATGAGCAAAGGCTCAGAGACAAGAACCTGGACCAATTTGCTTGGAGTGCAGGTGTGTGAAGGGGCTGGTGAGATGTGAGGCCAGAGGGTGTTTTGAGGTCACCTGGGTACCAAGGGGGAAATGGGATACCTCCAGCAGGGTTTCTTTTTTTTAAAAAAATTTATTCAGAGAGGAAAGGAGAGAGAAGGAGAGTGAGGGAGAGGGAGATAGAAACATCAGTGATCAATGACGAGAGAGAATCATTGATTGGCTGCCTCTTTCATGCCCCACACTGGGATCGAGCCTGCAAACTGGCCATGTGCCCTGACCGGGAATTGGACTGTGACCTCCCGATTCATAGGAGCCATCCTGGTTGTTGGGCTGGGTAGGTTCTTTCGCTGTCCTGGGGTAAAGCCCACTGTGGGGATGTATCATGACATGCCTATCTGCTCAGAATTTTTCTTACATCTAGTGACACTATCAACTTTAAAAACTTAAGTCTGAAAAAATCCACCACCTCTTCACATATTTAAAATATATTTTCCTGTAAACAAAGTCAGCCAGCTTTTTCTGTCAAGGGACAAGCAGTAAATATTTCAGGCTCTTATCGTCTCTGTGGTGACTGCCCGACTCTCCCATCGAAGCTCGAAAGCAGCTGTCAACACCTCGGAAATAGATGAGGGTGGCTGTGTCCTGTAAAACTTGACTCATAAAAACAGGTAATTTGCCAGATTTGGCTCATGGGCCCGTTTGCCAACCCCTGGTGTGAAGTAGGGCAGGGATTCGTTGGTTTCCTTCCCAGTCGTCAGTACAAAATAAAATGTCAGGCAGTCTTGGCTACCTGGGGAGGGTCAGATGCTGGTGTGAGTGAGGTGCAGAGAGGAGAGCCCAGGGTTGACCATTAACTGGGGAAGTGCCTCTTGTTCACTGCAGCCCTTGTAGCAACTTCCCTGCGAGTAATTCAGCCAAGCCGCTGAGTTATGCTGCCCGTTACGGAGACCACACTTACCTGCTGGGGAGCCGACTGCTGCTTCCTGCAACGCGGCCGCGTGTCTTTCCGACGGCACTGCTGTGGCAGACAGAGTGTGTGGCCAAATGTGGGCAGTAAGCCGCCATGTGCAGCCTTTTCCCGTCCTCGGGGAAACTGTGTCCAGGGCAGCACTTGCGGGAATTACCCTCCCACTTTTGGAGGAACCCAGGATCCTTGTTGTTTGCAAGTGAGTGAGCTGGTTTGCTTGCTGCAGTGCTCTTAGGGCTTCTGGTCGGGGTGATGCCATAAAATGCTTGCCCAGAAAGGTGCCTCGGCCAAGTGCAGACTGAGGTGGAGTATCGGTCATGCCCCAGAAGGAGAACCCAGAGCCAGTGTTGATTGCAGTGGTTCCCAAGGACAAGCTCTCAGTGCAACCCATGTACCTGGGCCTAAGATGCATCGCTTGAAATCAGAAACGACAGCAAAACAGGTGCCGCTTAGACCATTTGAGATGGCATCCATTTCTAGCTCGATGCTGACCTCCCTTTACCTTTTCTGTACATGCCTGAAAAATTGTGCTTAAGGAGTTTGTCTAAATCAAGCAGTTTTTTTTCCTCTTTTGATATACTACATTCCCACATGAGGTGACTTCACTTCCATTTTTTTAATACAAACTTTTTATTGATTTTTGAGAGAGAGAGATCATTGTGAGAACAAAACATTGATCAGCTGCCTTCTGCATGACCCTCACTGGGGATCGAGCCCACAACCCAGACATGTAGCCGGAATCAAACCTGGGACCGTTCAGTGTGCAGGCTCATGCTCTATTCACTGAGCCAAAATGTCTAGGATCCTCGCCTGACTTTTGAGAGTTTCCCTGCCCTCAGGTCCCCGTTCTGA